TTTTGCAAGCCAGACTCGGGGGCTCTGCTTGGCCGGCGAGCCGCCCCTCCGCCCCGGCTCCCTCCCGCCAGTCCGTGGAGCGCGCGCACCGCCTCGCCGCCCTTCCTACCCTCTTCCGTGGGCCTCTCGTCTGCGCTTGGCTCCGGCGACTCCGTTCTGCTAATCCTCTGGCGGTTTTCTGGGTTATTTAGGCAGGTGTAGGTGGAATCTAAGTGATCAGCAGGACGCGCGGTGAGCCCAGCGTCCTCCTACGCCGCCATCTTCCCTCTCCTTCTCCCCTTAATTTATTTTTAATACTTATGTGCCAGGCCCCCTGATAGGCACTAGCGTTACTAGGGGTGGCCAAAGAAGACAGGGCTCTATGACAATCATCACATTTAATGGCTAGTAGGTGCTGTGTGTGGGCACCACTCACCACTCTTAACATTTACAGCCTTATAGCAGGTATTCTCTCAGTAGCCCGTTTTACAGATAAGGAAACCAATGTTCAGAGACAGGGATTTCCCGAAGGCCCACAGCTAGTGGAGCCGTGACATGTCCAGGTAGCTTGGCTCTAGAGTCCCTGAGCCACTGAATTATTGTGCTTCTGAGTTTCTGTAGAATTTCCATTCTAGGAGACTCTTTTGACAGATGAGGAAACTGAGGCCCAGATGGGCTGAGGGCCTCTTGTCAAAGTCTCCCAGTCTTCTACCCAGGTAACCTTGGTTGAAGGTCAGGGTCCTTGACCCTGGTTCACGTGGCTTTTTCTCAGAGTCCTGGCTTCTATAAAGGGCTGGGCCTGCCACAGAGAGAAAGCCACTTCTACACCCACATTTGGGACAATAATAGCATGAGGGTCTCTTTAAGTTTGCTCACCAAATATTGGTGAGCTACAGGGAACAACTGTCTGGTACTAAATTAAGAAATTCCCCTTTACTGAACTCTGCATCTGTGTCCTGAGCTGACACTGAGCCCACCCAAAATGAAGGCCAAGGGCACTAGAGCCCTCCACAGTCCAGGCCCAGCATCCCTCCCCTGCCCAGCCCTGCCCTCAGCCCTGGCTTTGCCCCTCACCCTCTGTGAGCCAGCCATGCTGAATTTCTCAAGCCCCTGGGTTTGCATATGCTGTGACCTCTCCCTGGAACACCCCTTCCACCTTCTCTTTCTGGAAAATCTTGTTTGTTCTTCTTGGCCTTGTTCAAATTCTACTTCCTTTGACAGCTCCTCCCTACCCAAGAGCCATGGTCGCCATGGTATTTCTATATACCTCTGCTCGAAAAGGTGGCATAGGGTTGTTTTAGGACATAGACTCTAAGTTGAGCTTCCTGGGTTCCAATCTCAGCTCTGCCTTTGCCAGTTGCTGCCTGAGCATCAGTTTCCTCATCTGTACAATGGGAGTAATGAGGGCAACCATCCTCTAGGTTTGTTGGGGGAGGGAGTCAAATGATTTATACACACATCACTTAAAATGCTACCTTGCATCTGGTGCATGCTCTGTAAGTCTTAGCTATTGCCATAATATTTGTTTATCATCTCTTAGTGGACATGCCACAGGATTTTGAGGCTTCTCTGTGCCAGTCCAAAACCTTGGTCCCAGACCCAACCCCAGCTCCCTCCAACAGCAGCTGCTCAAGCTACACGGAGACCCAACATCTGGCTGTGGTGGGGATAATGTTCACGGCACAGACCCTGCTCGGCGTGGGCAGTGTGCCCATTCAGCCCTTCGGCATCTCCTACATCGATGATTTTGCCCACAACAGCAATTCGCCCCTCTACCTTGGTGAGAACCGGGGTCTGAGGGAGGGCCAGGCTCAGAGGAAGGGGGATGAGAGGCCCAGATAGGGGCTGGGCATGAGTCCCTGACCTCTGCTCCATGTGACCAGTAAAGGTCCAGAGAAGACCCAGAGTTTCCTGGGCCTAACCAACTGCTCTTGCCTATTAGAGACTGGGTGGGCACTGATCTGCTGAGGGAAGCCAGGGCCAGAGAAGACTAACCCAGCCTTTGTGTTGCAGGGATCCTGTTTGCAGTAACCATGATGGGGCCAGGCATGGCCTATGGGCTGGGCGGTCTCATGCTGCGCCTTTATGTAGACATCGACCGGATGCCAGAAGGTGAGCCTCAGGAGCGCACAGTTGTCCCTGGGGGCACACAGATGCTAGCTAGCTTATGGATTGCTGGTCTAATAGGAGACAATGAGCCAGGGGACTCAGGTTCAAATCCCAGCAACCTCACTGACCTTGGACATGCCTCTTAACCTCTCTGAGCCTCAGCTTCTTCATCTTTGAGATACTCTCTGTCCTGTCCACCTCCCAGAGCTGCAATCAGAATCCAATGAAAGCTGAAGATAAGCTGTAAAGCGCCATCAGACAGGGGAATGGAGAAGCACGCAGGAGAGAAGTTCTGGAGCAGGACTCAGTTACCTTGGGCCTACCTCAGATGGAAACTTACTGGGTTGACCTCTAAGGACCCTTCTAGTTCTGACCACTTAAGGGTCTGGAAACCTGTGCCGAGGGCACCATTTAGGGAACCTCAGTCACTACTCCAGGTAGTAGCTGGGGTGGGCCGAGGAGTAGGATGGAAGCTTGGCCTGAAGGCACCAGGAGAGGGCAGTGGTGGGGGTCCCCGTGCTCTGGCACCCTACAGGGAATAGGAGAAGATTCCTTTTAGAACAGGTTACTACTGCAGCATCTCAGCTGCCTGATTGTCACATCTAAGCAGCTCTAAGCCCCAACCTATGCCTTCTACCTCCTGCTACTCAGAAGTCCCATCCCTCACCTGGAGATTTTCAGCAAGCTCTAGAAAGCTCAAGGTCACACACGTATGAATGAATGGACACGCAGATGCTGCTTCTTGTTCTCTGGTTTTTGCACAAGGGTGCCTCCAGGACAGGTCTGGGCAGCTCTGAACAGGTCTCGCTAGGAATAGTCCTGCCCCACCTTCCTCTCTTCTAGAAAGCTGGGCCCAGGAGCCAAGCGTGAGCTCTGGTTATTGTCCTTAGGTTTCCCAGACACGTCCCAATGCCAGGGAAGGGCGGTGTGTGTTTTCTGGCTCTGTTGACATCATCCTGGCAGATGTGGCACCTTCACAGGCAGATATGGTGTTCCTGTGGACTGACCTCCCTACACTTTCTCTATGGGGGATTTCAGGGGTGGGTGTGGCGTGTCTGCTGCAGGCACAGCTGGGTGTGTGAGAAGCGGAGGAGTCAGGGAGATACGTGTGCTGACGCTCACCAGGCTGGCACAGAAGCAGGGGAAATAATAGGTGGAGGAGGGATTTAGTGCAAAAACCAACTTCATTCCCAGCTTTACAGATACATTTGCTGAGTGCCAGTTGTGTACTCTGGCCCCTGGCCAGGTAAGCTCAGGACCAATCACCTGGGAACCAGCCCCGCTCATGGGGTTGGTGTCATTATGCATCTGTGTCTTTATAAAGTGTTTGCGGATGCTATAGCAATTGAAGGAGGAGGTATCTGACTCAGCCTTGAGGTCAGGGCTTGGATGGGGGATGTGGGCGTTCCAGCCAGGAGGCACATCTGGAATAGTCTAGTCCTGATTACACCTGGGGAACTTGTTAAAGGTAAGACTCCTGGGTCACCTTCCCACCCCACCCCGTGGTAGTTTTAAGTTGGTCTTGGGTATTTTTGACAAGCACTCTGGTGATTTTGATGAGAATCTTGTGCTGAGAAGCACAGGAGTAGCCCTGACCATAACAATAATAATAATAATGATAATAATAATAATAATAATAAATCACAACAGTAACAGTAAGATGAGGAAGATGAGCAAACTCCTATACAGCACATACTCTGTGCTGGCACTATTCTAAATGCTTTACATGAGTCCGTTTCTGTGATTCATCACCTGTGATATAGGTACTACTGTCTGTATTTTACAGAGGAAGACACTGAGGCACAAAAACGTTAAGTAATTTGCCCAAGGTTGTTATGTTAGTAATAGGAATTCAGACTCAACGGTCCATTTCCAAGGTCCATAACATCGACCACTACACCCAATGCCTGGGTAGTTGAAAAAGCTGAGGTCCAAGAAGGGTCAAGGTCAGATGCGATGTAACTGGCAAAGCCACCACTCAAGCCCAGGTCCCCTGACTCTTGGTCCAAGTCACCTCACGTCTCAGAAGCCAGTCCCACGATGGTGGGATCCTGATCCTAACATCACTATGGTCTTCTCTTTCAGGTGGTATCAGCCTGACCTCAAAGGACCCCCGATGGGTGGGTGCCTGGTGGCTGGGCTTCCTCATCTCCGCTGGTGCGGTGGCCCTGGCTGCCATCCCCTACTTCTTCTTCCCCAGGGAGATGCCCAAGGAGAAGCATGAACTTCGCTTTTGGCGAAAGGTCTTGACGGTCTCAGACTCACCTGTTAGCAAAGTAAGCCCCCTTCACATCCCCACCCTAGTCCAGGCTCCAGCCCCACCCACTTGTTCTCCTTTGTAACCTTAAACTTCATCCCTCCCCGGCACTGCACTTCACAACTTGCAAATCCATTCCTGTCCAGGCTCCACAGCATCTGCCTACAGCCCCACACAATGAGTATGTCTGGCCCCTTCCACAGCTGAGGAGATTAGGGGCCAGAGGAGGAAATGACCTTCCCAAGGCCACAAGGCCACTGAGGGCATCACTGGGATGAGAACCCCAGCCTCTCTGATCCCATGCCCTGTCTCTAAACATTACACTTTCCACCTCTTTGCTCATCACTTCATGGTTTTTGTGAGTTCTAACTGTGCTGTGCCGGAGCAATATTGAGAGCTAGGGGGAGGGGAGAATGGGTGGGAGGGTCTGAGAAGACTTCTCTGAAGGGGTGGAAATTGAGCTGGACTTTGAAGGATGGTGGGAGCCTAGAGAAGGGCGTTCTAGGTGTGGACACAGTAGGTCAAAGAGTTCAGCTGTTGAAATGAATCTGGCCTTTTTAGAAGCAGTGAGGGGACAAACACACATTGAGTGCCTCCTCTAGGCCAGATGTCAGGCCGACACTGGAGCTCAGCACATGGCCTCTACCCTTAAAATAGGCATGGCCTAGTGGGGACAGAGATTCATAGATAAGTAACAGGCCATGAGGTGCTAGAGGACATCTCGCTGAAACCCCTGCTTGGCTGTGGGGCAGGTGGTCTTTCCTCAGAAGAGACCCACTGGGCAGATCAGATGACTGGTCGGGGGGTCTCCCTGTTTTCCACAGACTCACCAACACACGAGGCCCTAAAAACAATACATTGGCTCCAAAGTACAAAAGAAAATGACGAAATAGAAACGTTTCATAAAAGTTCAATATACAAGTAATGTCAGCTTGATCAGGTTTTCTTTAATACTCACACACATTTCGTGACATTCTGAAAATCTGTACATTTGATTTTCTTGTTTCCCAAGTTCTCACACACACAACGTTTCTGTGACCAAATGTGTGGAGTTCTTCATGCCGATCAATTCTCGGCGATACCCACAAGGTGTCCCACTCAACCCTGACACTGTCTACCTGGAGGTAGCATCTGATCCCACAGGTTAGGGCTCAGACTCACAGTTGAAGTCCCACTTCATTTGCAGACAATAGGCTCACCCCCTGGTTACCCACAACTTCTGTCCTACTTGGCTGCAAATCAGGTTCCCACAGCCCCCTTCTTGGATTCCATGATTTTCTAGACTAACAGCTCACAGAACTCAGGAAAGGACTTACATTTACCAGCTAATTATGTAACAAGGGATATGATAAAGGGCATTGCTGAACAGCCAGATGAGATTACATAGGGCAGGGTCTGGGAGGGTCCCCAATGCAGGAGCTTCTGTCCCTAGTGGAGTTGGGGTGTGTCACACTCCTGGCACGTGGATGTGTTCACCAACTTCAAACCCCATACTATTAGGATTTTGTGGGGGCTTTCTCCATATAGACATGATTGTCCTTAACTCCATTACCAGCCCCTCTCCCCTCCCTGAAGAATTGGGGGTGGGGGTGGAGGGCCTGAAAGTTCTAAGCTTATAATCATGGTTTGGTCTTTCTGGTGACCACTTCCCATCCAGGAGCCCACTGAGAGTCATCTCATTAGAACAAAAGATGTTCCTCTCATCCAGGAAATTCCAAGGGATTTAGGAGCTTGGTGATAGATGCTCCCAGCACTTAGGAAATTATACAGATCTTAGGGCTCCATGTCAGGAACTGGGGTCAAAGACTATTAGAAGATTCTCCTAAGCACTCTTATTTACAAGAGTTTTAGGAGCTCTGTGTCAGGTATATATATATATATATATATACACACACATATATATATTTGCTTATTTATGTTTATATATTTCTTATTAGTAATTGTGGAGAAATCACAATCATAAATTATTTGTTGCTATGTAGTTCTAATTTCAAAGAGATGATCTGTAAAAAAGACTGTTGAATATTTTGCAACAAGAATAATTCTATTTCATGAGGCAGGTCGGTGCATTTGAATATGCTTGCTGTGATGTGAGCAAGAAAGTTTGGGCCTTGGAGAGAGGGCTGAAAATGTCTTCACCTAGAAAGGCTAGAATTTGAGCCCAAGTCTGTCTGACCCCAAACTTGGCTGTTCTATGACCCTCATGACACATCTCCCTCTGCCCCCACCAGCACCACCCTCACCACCACCACTGGATCAGAGGGTATATACATGGGACACCAACGAGAATTGATATTAGAACAGCCAATAGGGGCCAGAACAGGAAAGGCCTTGCCTGCCACCTTCAAGAGCAGCAGGCAGCCCTGAAAGGAGGGTAAACAGGGGTCCCGTGGCTCTATCACTAGGTTCTAAGCTGAGAAAGGGACAGAGGAAGTGTGTGGGCGTGGCTGGGGGTGGGGAGACTGATGCAGCAGCCATGGCTGTGGTCCAAGTGGGAACCGGTGCATTGGCAGTGAGGCAGGCCAAAGGGAGGAGTCCAGGAGCCTCCCAGGAGGGAGACTGCTTGGGCCCCGATGCTGCTTTGCTATGGGGCATCCAGGATAGTGCAGGGCTGGGCTGATGCTGGGCTTGGAGGCAGGGGAAGGCAGGCCCTGCAGAGGGACCAGTATCATGGGAAGAAGGCAGCTTGAAATCACAGATGGCACTTACTGGTTCTGCCTAGCTCAGGTCAGAATTTGAACGAGGTAAGGATTCCTAGAACTTGGAGGTGAGTTCTTAGAAGTAGGGGTAGTCATAGAGAAAGAGAAGAACCTGGGTTTTTGGTTATGGGCAGTCTCCAAGTTGGGCCTTAAATCTGAGCAGAGAACAACCACTTGAGCCATGGGATGGCATCTGTGGGAGAAGCAAGGGTGAGGCATGTGTCAGTTGTGTGACCTTGAGCCAGTCACTTCCCCATTCTGTTCTGTCATGGAAGACACTGAGGTTGGATTCCTGGAGCAATATTCTGTGTGCCTCGAAGTCTAAGAAGGCACAGTTTTTGGAGTTGAAGCTGCTGTGATGCAGGGATTTGGGTTTTCAGAGCTGCATCTCTGTGATGCTTTGAAACCCTGGCTCCCCGGCTGTGAACCTGTCTGGCTGTCTGGATTCATTCTGTCAGCACATTGGGGATGGGGAGTGAGGAAGGAAGGGGGTGAGAGGTTCTTAAAAAAGAACCGAAGGCTGAGAACATGATGATCTGCTTCCAGCCGCTCTCAGGCAATAAATATTGATGTGGGAGGAATTGTTCCCCCGCCTCCTTGAAGCTGCCTTGGCCAGCTCTGCTCGCAGTTACTCAGACTGGCCCAGCCCACTCAGGCCACTGAAGAGGAGGTAGATGGACGAAGAGGAAGGGCCCAATTAGGCAGAACTGGCAGCCAGAAAGTCCAGGCCCACAGACATGGGAAGTGTAGCTTCTGTAGACAGCGGGAACAGGCAGGGGGAAAAGTGAAGGGAGGCTATTTCTCACATCCCTTCAAGCATCTTCTCCCAGGCTCAGGGGTCCCCTAAATACCCTCCTATAGTAAATGCAGTTTTTAAAGGTGGTGTCATGGTATGTAATATAAGGGTCGTGTGACCCGGCGAAGGTCTCTGACCTCAGTCTCCTTATCTCTAAAACGGGCAGAAGATTGGACAAGGGTTTACCAGATTCAAGGACGTCTTCTCTAAATGGCTCCCTATCTCTGGAGCAGTACATGAGCCCTTTCCCTGTGGGAGAAAACGGTGCCGTCCACAGCCTCTGCCCCAAGAAGCTCTCAGGTAATGAAGGAAGGCCAGACTCAGACAGACTGACTGACAGCTCAGGTTTCTCCAGGGTCGGTGCTTAGAGTTCTCTGCCTACAGGGAGGGGAGCATGAACAGTCTCCACAGAGAAGACTATAAGATGGTAGGTGGGGGAGGCTACACGGACGTGAAGGGGCAAAAGCTCTGCTTTCCTGCCTTTGATTCTGCCCATGTGTCTGTGGCTTCCTGGTGGCTACCAGACATCCTTCTCAAAGTGAACCAGGGCAGGTCTTACCTTTCTGCAAGCCACAGTCACCCTGTCTATAACCAGACAGTCTCTAAGTCAAGCCCCAGGACTCCTGGCAGATGGCTCTCTAGAGCCTGTGGAGTAGAAATGGCCTCTCAGGGGCTCCCCAGCAAGTCATCCGGTCCCATTAGGACCCCATTCAATCAGCAACACTCCTTTGCCCTCCACACCCTCAGGTCCCTCTTAGTGCCTACCCTTGGGTCTAGGCAAGGGGCTGACAAAGGCCTCATCCTTCGAGATCCCCTGTCCCTGCCCAGCCTCTGAGCACCGCTGGCTTCTGTCACCTTCTCTCGGTTCCAATTTTCCAGGAGTCTCCATGTCTGTCATTCTAGGCTGTCTCTCAGAGTCTGGGATTCTAATATTATAAAGTTCTAAATTTTGTATTTCTAGTAAAGATTCTCAAGTACTTGTGTTCTATTATTCTAAGATTCTATGCCTCATATGGTCTGTGACTCCAAAAATTCATATTTCTACATGGTTACAATTTGGGCCTAGGAGTCTGTGAAATATGTTTCCTCCCAATTGTTAACCTGATGTGCTTCTTTGGGAGAATGGTCAAGGATGGGGACAGGAGTGGGCAGTGGCAATGGCCCTTAAAGCCTAGGACTTACGGCCAGCTGGAGGCTTCTGTTCCCTTTGGACTTTGTGCTCATTTTACAGCCCTTGTGAGGTCCAAGGTGACTTGTGTCTCTCTTATGCCTGGTACCTCTCCCTTGCAGTAACTGCCAGCAGCCTAGGCTGGCTCATGTCCCTAGCAACCCAGGCCTTGTGACTACCCACCCCCCCCCACCCCTCCTCAACTCTCTAAAGTAGACGGTCTTGTGTGATCATCCAGTTCAACCCCCACTCTATCTTACAGATGGAGGGATTCAGGCCCAGAGAGGGTCAAGGTTGTTCCCAGAGCTGGACCAGTACCACCCCACCTTGCACCAGTCTATATAAGGCCAGGTCTTGGCCCCAAAGGGCTGAAGTGAGTCCTTGGCCCCAAAGGGCTAAAGTGAGTCCTCCCCTCTTCATGGCCTGGTGTAGATCAGAACTTCCTCAAACACTGGGGCTGGAAGGCACTTTGGGATGACCTGCTTGAGTGGTTTCAACAGAGCCCCAAAGGTGCCACCATAGGGAGAACCCCAAGGGTGCCACCATATGGAGATTGAAGAGAGGTGTCCGCAATAGAACTAAGGGCCTTCCACCTCCCTGAACACACACGTGCATACGCACACGTGCATACACACACACACACACACACACACACACACACACACACTTCAATCAGACAGATTCTACTTTTATGTGTTTTGATACCAGTCTTTGGAGTGAGGTTTCAATTGGGGAAAGGGTTTTGCTGCTAAAAACCCAGTTTTCAAAACACCGATCTAGTCCAGTACCTCCGTTTGACTGCCGAGGAGACTGAGGCTAAAGAAGAGAGCTGACTGGAAGCTGATCTGGCCCAAGAGTTTCCTTGGTGCCTGAGGTGTCTGAGTGCCGGCCTAGCGGGAGGCCAGCAACAGGAGTTAGACATATGGTGTCTGTACCAAACCAGCCTGGGTATGAATCCTGCCTCTGCACTTACAATTCTGAAATCCATAAAATGGGTATAATCACAACGTTCACATCTTGGGGGTTTTGTAAGAATGAAACAAAGTGTGAAGTGGGTTGTTCAATGCCTGACAACCAGGAATGCTTGTTCTTAGTATCTTTCTCTGCTCCAGCCAGCTCTTTAGAGTTTTGAAAAATAATGGAAAAATTATCTTTTTTTTCCCTAATATTCTTCTTACAGCTCGCACCAAATTCACGTACAGTGCTAATAAAAGAGTGGGGAATTAGGCTGACATCTATTGCCTACTCTGTACCATGCATTGTTCTAAGCCCTTGGTATGTATTATCTCATTTAATCCTTGTAATCCACCCATGAAGTAGATGCAGCTATTACCCCCATTTAACACCTGAGGTGCTGAGTTACAGAAAGATTAAATAACCCGACCACATGGCTAGTGAATGGTGGCGCTGGGATTCAGACCCAGGAAGAGCATTGCAGGACCTGGGCTGAATCACTCAGCCGAGACCAAGAAGCGGGAAAATAGAAACAGCAGCAAAAGTTTGTCAGAATGAGAGAGAGAAACATAGGTGCATGGACCACAAAGATGAAGTCAATTGTTATAACTGAACCACGTATTTGGTTCCGAGCTTTCTGGTAGTCAAAGGGAAAAGAGAGGCATGGCCTGTTGCACGGATCTCAATACGAGAAAGCCCGAAGCATGTCACAATCTTCTGTGAAGTTCAGATCTCTAGGCACTCTGCTAGAAACACGACCTCCCTCCCGCAGCAGGTAGGAAGTCTAGCAGATAACCCCATTCCCTGTGGCCGCTTGCCGTGGCCACCTGTGATGGAAGCTGAGGGCATCACCTGCCAGGGTCAGCGTGGCTCCGTGGGGTCACAGCTCCACATAGAGCTTTCCAGGAACCCAGCTTCCTCTGAGGATGACTCCCTGGAGGCCCGGCAGACAGGGTCCTTTCATGTGGGGGACCACACATGGTGTCCGGTGTCCCGCAGGCTTGCAGCAGTCAACACACGGCCCCGAGAGGGGAAGTTCTAACCTGCTGACCTGGGCAAACCACAACCAGATGTGTCCAACTCCAAATCACAAGGCTTTCGGTTTCAGGAGCTGGCTCTTAGTCAGGAGTCCTCCGAACAGATCTGAAGAGAGAGGCAGGAACTTGTGGAGAACATAGGACTGGAGCTAGGTCAGTGCTCCCAGTACCTACCAGATAAGGCCCAAGTAAAGTCCCTTAGCATGGCCCTCCCAACCGCCCAGCTCCTGCCCCAGCAACTCTTACCCATAGTCAGGATGACTTCCCCATCACTTTCTGCACTGAGAGACCCCTTCCCCCAGCCACACTCCTGCTAGACTATGTCCTTGCTTCAAATAACCTCTTCCTTCCAGTCCACAAATCTCAAACCTCACTTCTCCTGGATGCCTTCCCTGGCCTCCCGGCTCCTGAAGGTCTGCCCCTCCCCTCTTGTCTCCAAACCCCATGCTCTTTTTCACAGCATGAGACAGTGTGGTACTATAGGACCCACATTTGAGAACCTGCTCTGCCCATTGCTCCCTAGGTGACACTTCCCTTTCTGGGGCCTCAGTTTCCTTTTCTGTGAAATAGGTGCGGTAATAACCCCTTCACCAGACTGCTACGGGAATCAGATGACACAGTGGATGTGAAAGTGCTGGGTAGACCATATAGGGTTGTACATGCAGACACTGTGGTTGACTTTACTGTTTACATGAAAACAAGGAACTCACAAGGTTCTGCCTGTCCAAGGTTCTGTCTCGTCCAAAGGTCGAGCCTGTCCTTCCATCCCTGATAAGAAATGCTGGGAAGTTAATAGTTTACCTTAGCCCCTCCTGCTTCTGTTTCTGGGAAGTACCCCAGGCCTAGTACCCCTCCCTGGGGTCCCAGGACCTTCCTGCACCGCCCTCCATAGCTTAGCTAGGACTAAGAAAGGCGTAAGGAGATTCCCTGATTTTCTTGAAGACAGTGTGTCCAAAAGAAATATTATGTGAACCACATATGTAATTCTAAATGTTCTGGCAGCACATTCGAAAGTTAAAGACATTAATTTTAATAATTAAGTTAACCCACTATATCTAAAATATTCTCATTTTAGCACATCATAAATATGAAAAAAACTAATGATGAGGTATTTTCCCATCTTTTTCATACGAAGTCTTTGAAATGCAGCCTGTATTTGGTATTCATGGCACATCTCAGTTTGGACAAGACACAATCCTGGTGCTCAGGGACCACACATGGCCGGTGGCTGCTGTGTCAGCACAACTCGAAGGTATAAATGAATAACAGACCCCCGGTAACTTACCCAGAGTGGGTAAGACCCAAAGTGTGGGCTCTCAGGCCCCTCCACATAACACCACAAAGGTGCCTCCCAATTCTGCCTGTCTTGCATCAGGGCCTCCAACTCACAGGGCTTAGTGGATAAAGCATGAGTTTTCTACTCAGGTAAGCTTGAGCTCAGATCATAGTTCTGTGCAATGTTGAGCAAGTTACCTCACTTCGCAGCTTCTTTGCTCAGGTGTGAAGTGTAAGACCCCTTCCTTTGCAGGTCCCAGGGAGGATGGAGCAGGAGCCCACATACTGGTGGCCTGGCATATCCTGGAACCCCCATTCTGCTAGGCCCCTGGGGTACTCAGTGTGGACGTTTTGCCCTATTCCGAACCAAACTGAACCCACTTCTGAGCAGTGTACAAGCTTGCCTGCATCACATTAGCATCTCCTTTTGATCTCATTTTTCTTCCAAGAGGCCAGCATTGGCCGCACCCGTTGCCTGTTAGAGACATCTGTTGCGTTTCTTCTTTTCATGGATATTTATCAGATGCCCACTATTTTACCTCAGGCCCTATGCTAGGCACCAAGGTTTCAACAGAGAATAAGATAAAGATGATCCCTGAGCTCTTGCAGAGCTCAGAGCCCAGCAGAGGAGAGACCCTGAACAAGGTTTGACTTGGACGTACATGTATATGTAAGATCGTTATTTTCTCTTCAAATCAACTTACCTTCTACTCTGAATGCCCATCTTGCTGGATTAGCAAGACACCCAACTTCAGCCTTTCTTAGGGTTCCCCCACCAAGGTGAAGCAAAGGTCCTGAGGTCTTACAGGGTGTTGAGGCACCAGAGAGGTCTCACCCCCAGCCAGCAGGCATCAGCAACAATCCATTCTGGCCTGTTCGGAGCCAAGAACAAATGGAACACTGCTGGCCCCTATTGCTCCCGATGAGGTGACAGCCCCATACCCTCTTCTCTTTCAGAGTGTTTCCACACCCACAGGCATATCTGGGCAGAATGTCTGGCATCCAGCTGACTGCCTGGGTTGTGTGTCTTCCAGGGTGAAGATTCTCCCTCTGAGCAGAGTCTGCGGGAACCTCTAGAGAAGCAGGATGGCCTAGTCCAGATTGCACCAGACCTGACTGTGATCCAGTTTATCAAAGGTAAGAGAGCTCAGGCCAGGATATGGGGAAGGGGGACCAGAGGGGCATTTGAGGCTGCACGGGACCCAGCCCCTTCCTGCCCTTCTTGATTTATCTTTCACACCTACAGGCCCCTCATGAGCACCATACGCTCCTGTAAGTCTTTGCTTATATGATCCCCTCTGGCTGGAACATCAGTTTTTATTGCTATCTATCAAAATCTCCCTTGTCCCTCTAGGTCAAGCTCAAGTGCTACTCCTCTCCTTCCCCCAACAAGCCTGGCTCTCCCTCCTCTCAGCTCTCTGAACCCTCAGGGCCAATAATCCTTGCTCTGCTTCTCTCAAGGACTATTAGGAGAAGCAAATGGGGTGATGAATGGAAAGCCTTTTGTATAATATAAAAAAAAAAAAACAACTTTACTTATATAAGGTGCAATTATTATTTCGATTACCACCCGTGCCCTATTGCTATTATTCTGACCATGTCCTGGGACAGTAAGGTGAGCTGCCTATGGTTTAGGAGGGTGATAACCACAGGGTTTGCTTCAACACCCATCCCTGCCCCCACTGAGGACTTTTGAAACAGGAAGTAAATTAGGCCCAATTCTTGGAAGTGTGTCCTAAGACTTGTTGTTGGGATGCCAGTAATCCAGCCCCCAGTTCTTCAGTATCCCCAGGGAATGTGGGTGGGGGGGGGGGGAGGGGGCTGGACCTAGAGACAGGAGGGGCTTTGACTTCCTAACCTCAGATCACCCACAGCTGCTGGAAGGCCCCAGCACACTCTCCATAGGAGAGTTTATTAATCACTGCTTTGGCTTCTGCCCAGAGGGAAGCTGGGGCCAATCACTGAAATTGGATCCTGGAGCGGGTGTCCTGGGCAGATAGTCTCTGGCTGTTTCAGCTTCTCCATGAGCCTAGAGGAGACTGAGGCAGGGCTAGCCATAGGCCCTGAAGTTGGTCAGCAAGCTTGACTTCTAAGTTTTACTGCTGATTTCTGGGGACCTGAGGTTTGGCCTTGACCACATGGGACCATGGGGGAGCCAGAGGGAGGATGAATCATGGCCCTTAGCTGCAGGAGGCCTAAACTCTTAGGGGAAAACAGTCCCTGAGTTAGAGAAGGTCCTTGTCTGGGGGAAACATAGTCCCTGTGCTGGGAGAGATCCTATTCAATGAGAGAGACACAATCTCTGTGCTTGGGGG